ATCCCATGAGGCCAGGCTCCCTGAGCAGCCACAGAAGCCCCCGGCCCCACTGGCCCCACAGGGGCGGAGACACGGGCAGCATGGAGGGCAGCTGGGAGCGGTCCCCGCCGTCCGAGTGGCCACTCTGAGAAGCAGATGTGTCCGGGGCCTGCGAACACTCGGGGTGGGGGTGGGGTGCTGCCAGGACAGCTCACCTGGGGCACCTGGTCGCGGTCGAAGCGCAGCGTGAGGCGGGCGCAGTTGTTGTCCAGGTGCCCGGAGCGCGGCACGCAGGGGGTGCTGGGCAGCAGGGGCTTCTCGGGGCCACACTCCCCCCAGGCCGCGCAGGGCGGCTGCAGGCACTGTCCCGGGGCCCTCTCCCCACACTGCTGGCCCGGGGGGCACTGGGCGCTCAGTGTGTTGGGCCGGCTGGCCAGCAGGCAAGGCTTCCGTCCGCACCACACCTGGGCCGGGCACAGCAGACAAGGACCCACAGAAGCCACGTCGGGAGACAGACAGACAGACAGGCTCGGGGTCAGCAAGTCCCAGGGCCGTGCCCACCCACCACCAGCAAGAACCCCGCCAGGCAGGGAGGCCCCGTGGGAGGGGCCAGCAGCATGCAGGCCTGGGCTGCTGGAGCCTGAGCAGCACTGGACTCAGTTTCTCCAACTGCACAGTGAGGAAAGGGGCCTGGTCGTGCCAGGGGCCCCTCCTTCCTGGACGTCCAGCAGGGGGGGTGGACTTGGTTCGTCCTCCCTCACCCCCCGGCAGCAGCTCCTGGGTCTCCCAGGGGATCGGGGTCACGGACAGAAGACGGAGCCCCTTGGGCACCAGGACGTCAGACCCGGGCAGGGCAGGGAGGCTCGCTCGGGGGCAGGGGCCCCTGGCACCTTGCTGCAGTCCCGGCGGCCATCCAGGCAGCGGCAGCTGTTGCAGTCCTCCACCCAGGAGCTCCCGTGCGGGAAGGGCACCCCCTGGGACCAGCAGGACCTGCCCAACACGATCACTGCGGGGAGAGGAGGCGGGTCCGCGGTGGCACTGACCCCGGAGACCAGGTCCTGCCCTGGCTCCTGCTTGGCACAGCCCCCACCCCCTCC